CCAGCAGAGGTGGCTGGCTGCACTGTCGTGGTGGCAGGTGCTTCCCTGGGAGCAATGTTCTGTGTGGCATCCCCTCAGGCCCTCCCAGCCTTCCCTTGAGCACACAGATAAGTCCCGTCAGAAATAGCTACATTGGAGCCGTGTGTGCAGCCCAGAGCCCAGATCCTCGACCCCGAGCACCGCAGTGAAGCGAGCACTGGTCTACACACAAACAGCTAAAATACAGCTCCATCACCCTGCAAGGCTGGCTGGACGGGCTTGGGCAAGCGCCATCCTCTGTCCATCTTCACTGTGCAGGCCTTGGGGACGCTGGGGTGAGGCACGTTTGGCTCTTGCCCCTTGAAAGTACCCAGCTTGCTCATGGCGTGGCGTGGGGCTGATGCCATGGCACCCTGCTTCAGCCTCTTCCCTTCACCAGGACCTGCTCTCCACCCCAACAGGCTGGCCTGCCTGCTCGTCCCCCGGCCTTGGTGGGATGAGCAAGGAAAGGTCATCACCGAGGACACCTGCATCCGAGAGGCATGCTTGTGGAATGCACAGGACTCCAGGCTGGGTTGGGGGCCTGGGACAGAGGTGATGGTCTCTTTCAGGGCCAGCTGGATGACCACCATCTGGGCCAGCATCCCTGCCTTGGCTGGTGACCTCAGCGGCCGGCCTTAAAGGCACCCAGGTGCTCGTCTTCCCTTTCTCTCCTCCAGTCCCCAAGGTGTACAGCATGCACCACCAGGTGGCGCCATTGGCTATAGCACGGGAACAGGCCCCTCTTGCCCCCTAGAGGCCAAGAACATGGTGACCCTCGCTTGCACCACTGTGTGGGGTTGACCAGCAATCAGCTAAGGACAGACCTGAGAAGGGAATGAAGTCCAGGGAAGGTTGCCTGCCCCATTCTCCTCTAGCCCTGCCCTTGCCACCTAGGCTGCACACGGCAGGTGTCCGGGCGTGCCAGCCTGTAAATGACAGGAGTGACTCCCACTCCAGGGGCCTTCAGGAGTGACTGCCGGGACACCCAGCAGGAGGGGGGCAGAGCCAGGCCTCCGGCTGCCTGCGGGCCTTCAGTCTTTCACCCACTATCAGGACAGACACTCGCTCCCACGCTCACCCAAAACTTGGGGAGTCTGTGTGCAGGCTGCACAGTCCAGCCTAGGTGCGGACACCGCCAGGTGAGGGAAAGTGCCCGGTCGGCTTTCATCCTGCCTTCCTGTGAGGGCTTGAGGCTGAGAGACACCCGACTCCCCGAGTCTTGGGATCCAGTGACCCTGTAAAGTCACTGAGGTTTGGGGCCCGGAACTGGGGCCTTTATCCAGGAAATGACACGTCAGGACAGAGACCGATGGGGAGGGGCCCAGAATCCAGTGTGCCTCCAACACACAGGGGATCTGTGCACCCCGAAGTCTCAGGGCTCTCAGGATGTGGGTGACACTGGCAATAAACTTATCTACAGCAGCTGGAAAGGGCTAAGTGAGGCAGCTGAGGACGGCCTGTGTGCAATGATGGCCACCTGTCCATCAAGGAGCTGTGCATTCAGGGCTCACTCCGTTCACCCCTGCGCCAACTCACACATTCACCCTTGCGGGGGTGGTCTACCCTGTGCCAACTCACACATTCACCCTTGCAGGGGTGGTCTACCCTGCTCCAACTCACACATTCACCCCTCCGGAGAGTGGTCTACCCTGCTCCAACTCACACATTCACCCCTCCGGAGAGTGGTCTACCCTGCTCCAACTCACACTTCACCCTTGCAGGGGTGGTCTACCCTGCTCCAACTCACACTTCACCCTTGCGGGGGGGGGTGGTCTACCCTGCGCCAACTCACACATTCACCCCTCCAGAGAGTGGTCTACCCTGCGCCAACTCACACTTCACCCTTGCCGGGGGGGGGGGTCTACCCTGTGCCAGTCTGTAAAGATGGGGTTGGAAGAGCTGCGGAGTGATTCAATAGAAGAGCGCATGCCTAGCATACACAAGGCCAAGGCTCCGAGGACGTCCAGTATCTGTCCCCTGATGCCCGGAACCCCAGCAATGTAACCCAAACCCGCAGAAGCTCCAGGCGGCATGGCCCATCTCCCTCTAGCCTGGATCTTTGAGGCCCCATCTCGGAGTGGAGCCCTGTGTGGCGGTCCCTGTGCTCTGCTTTGAAGAGTGAAAGCCCCATCCCCTACCCCAAGGCCATACGCCCCTGCAAGGCCCTTGCAGACACCAGTTTCTGGGATCTCTGTCACATGGCTTGCTAACTTTGAAGCCTGTCTTCCAGGAGAGTTTTGTCTGGGATCTCTCTGGGAACAGCAACCTGGGAGGGGCTGTGTGGGCAGGGCTTGCATGTCTTTTTTTTGTTTTGTTTTGTTTTTTTGTTTTTTTTTTTTGAGACAGGGTTTCTCTGTATTGTTTTGGAGGCTGTCCTGGAACTGGCTCTGTAGACCAGGCTGGTCTCCAACTCCCAGAGATCCACCTGCCTCTGCCTCCCGAGTGCTGGGATTAAAGGCATGTGCCACCGTCGCCCGGCTGGGCTGGCATGTCTTAAAGAGCAGGGCATGGGCAGGGGTGGGGTGTAGAGAGCAAGGGAGGTGAGGCTGTACTGGTGAGGGGACAGACTATAACAAGTAGGGCTCTGGTCTAGGCAAGGGCAGCAATAGGGAGCCTTGTAGGGTTCTGGGGTGACAGCATGCCAGGACCAGCTTCCTTGAGGAAGCTGGATGGGGTGGTCCCAGGAGTTCACACAGAGGTGCTGGCAGGTGGGCTCATCCCCACCTGTGTGGGGGGGGTTAGGCGCCTGTATGGGGGTGCAGGTCCTCTGTTCAGCCTCCCTCCCCAAGCCCACCTACCAAGGGTTAAAACCTCCCAGGCAAGGAGGAGGGAGCAAAGCCTCCGTTGTTCTGATTTGCTTAATGAACGTTAATTAAGGAGACAGAAGATAGCTGACTCCTCCAGGCCCGAGATGAAAGACCTGTTAATTAAATCTAGGGAGATGCTGGGGCTGCTGATCCCTCCTGACAGCTCAGTGCAGCGCACTGTTGGGGCTCAGAGTCAAGAACCCCCCCACAGCCCAGCCTAGGGTCCTGGATGCCCAGGGAGGAACCCAGGACTGGGCCCCGACACGCTGAGGTCTCCTGGGTAGGGCCACACCCCAGTTCCCCTACATGCGCGATGAACGCACTGCTCGGCTCCTGCACCTCAGTTTTCCCTTCTGTTTAGTGGGGCGCCACTTGCTCTGCATGCAGCCCCAAGAGCAGGGGAAAGAACTGGGGTCTGCTGCGGGTGTGGATGTGGGGGAACCCCTGCAAGCCACAGCAAGGAGCAAGCCGCTCGGCCTTTCTGCTTTGCTCTGAATGCGTCTCTCACTGACTCACTCACTCCTCCAGGGCTACTGTTCCGTACCCACCCAAACACAATGGCCTCCGTGATGCAGGGGACATGGACTGTCAGCGACTTCACGAACCTCCCTGGAAAATCAGGGGGACAGGAGAGGACAGTGATCCAGGAAGCAAAGAGACAAGTTCAATGCTTTTATGTCTACTGAGAGGCTTGGAGGAGCACCCAGGGGAGGCACAGGACAGGGCAATCTGGAAGGCTCCCTGGAGGAGGTGGCAACCCGGCTGTGTCCTGTCACACGAGACAAGGGGACATGGAGAGGCAGGGGTCAGACAGATTGGAGTGGGCAGGGCCCTTCAGCTGTCACCTCTGGGAGCATCTCATCTCAGGGAGGTAACTAGAATTTGATCTCCTTGATGGGAAACCCTGTGGAAAATTACCCAGCTCTATTGTAGGAACCCATGGTCAAGATACTCAGCTAACTTAGCTTCTGTTAAACTGCTTACTTACACAAAACTTGCCCCTATTGCTGCTGAGCAGAATAACAGGATGTGGGGTTTGCCTTTAAAAGCCCCTTGCTCTAAATATTTGGTGCTAAGCTTGGGTCTCAAATACCTGAGTGTAGTCTCAGTCATCTGGAATAAAGACTTTCAATTGGCTGCAAACTGTCCAAGTGGTCTTCTCTGGAGGGCTCCCTGTAACATACAGGACCCATCTATCTCTGCTTTCCCAATGTGGAGATTACAAGTATACCATCATGCCTGGCATTTTTTGTTTTGTTTTGTTTTTACGAGACAGGGTTTCTCTGTATTGTTTTGGAGGCTGTTGGTCCAGCCTGGCCTCGAACTCATGCCTGGCATTTTATCTCAGGGATAGGCCAAGCACTCATAACAAATAAGACGTCTCTGTGTCATGTTTAGGGAGCTTGTTGGTGGCCCAAAAGAAAAAGCCTGGCACACCTTATTGCCAGAAGAAATATGTAATAACTGAAGAGGCAACTCTGGATTTTAGGACTGACAGCCCAAAGAGTCTAAATCATGAGAAGCTAGAAGCTCAGAACAGAAGCCCCAGACCTTTGAGAAGAACACACTGTCCAGCTAGTGTTGGTACTAGTGTGAGGGGAGAGGGTGAGTCTGACCCTGGAAATAGAAGAAAAGGGAGAACCAGAAACAACTGGTGTTGCCCGAACACAAGTCTGTGTATCAGGGATGCTGGGAGAAACAGCAGAGTGCCCTGTTGTAGCCAGTGGCAGAGGATTTGTCTTCGCATGCTCAAGGCCCTGAATCCAGTCCTCAAATATGTCACTGTTTCTAGAGTTTTTTTTCTTTCAGATTAACATTGTTTTGTTGTTTTTTTTTCAGATTAACATTGTCTTTTGTTTGGGTTTTGGTTTTTGGAGACAGGGTTTCTCTGTGTAGCCCTGACTGTCTGGGAACTCACTCTGTAGAGTAGGCTGGCCTCAAACTCAGAGATCTGCCTGCCTCTGCCTCCCAAGTGCTGGGATTAAAGCCATCACCACCTGTCAGCCGCATCTCTGAGAGGTGAGTCCCTCTGGAATGGATACAGGGTTCTTGCTCCACACGTGTTCCAGTCTTACACCTGTTATACAACTGGGGGTACAAGGTGATTCACAGGATGGGGATTGGCCATGACAGCCACACTTTTGGGGCAAGCTCAGGTGCAGCCAGCACACGATGAGGACTCAGGTGGGGTCTGGTGCTCTCACAGGACCCCAGCGGAGCTGGTTCCTCCACCAAATAAAAGTGGACATTGAATTCCTGCGGGGCCACGGAGTGCTGGACTACAGCCTCCTGGTGGGCTTTCAGCCTCTCCATGAAGATGAAAAGAACCAGTTCAGCATTATCGGCACCATCAGGTGAGCATTGGCTCCAGGCGCACAGCAAGGACAGGTGTGGAAAGGTAGGCAGTGAGGGATAAGACTGCCTTCCCTCTGGTGGCATGGCATGGGCTTGAAGGCTGGGAAGCACTGTGTGATGTGTGTGTGTGGTGTATGTGTGTGTGGTGTATGTGTGTTTGGTGTGTGTGTGTGGTGTTATGTGTGTGGTGTGTGCGTGCATGCATATGTGTGTGTGAGAGTGTGTGTGTGTGAGAGAGAGAGAGTGTGAGTGTGTGTGTTTGTGTGTGTGTTGTAGCACGGCTGCTGGGGAACAGAACTGAAGGAGTCCTGTCTAGACAAGGCCTTTTAATGATGTTTTGCCTATTTTCTGACCGGACAGATGGGGTCACCAGGGGTTTCTGAGCAGGGACAAGACCCGACCAGTTTTGTGCCCTCTTACCCAGTCATTCCATCTCTAGACCCCTGAAGTCATCACCCACCACTGGCATCATTGTATCCTGTGTAGAAGTAACTGGCACGCTATTCATGTTGACCATGACCCTCACTGAGACCGTGAACCTTTTCTCACTTGACAGATGTGACAAGCAAGCTCGGAGCAGGTGGGGGAAGTGACAGGGCTTCTAATCTGATAGCAGTTCCCAAGGCTCACCCCTAGGCTGAACAAAAAGGCCATTTAAGAGGCCAAGCCTGGTAGATGTGGCCTTAAAGCAGGCCTTTAATCCCAGCACTGCGTGGGGAGTGGGCAGAGGCAGGTGGAGCTCTGAGTGCAAGGTCAGCCTGGTCTAGAGTGAGACCCAGGCCCATCGATCTATTGCACAGCTGGGGGAAGTAAAAGATAAGGGTATCCTCAGCTCTCTGCAGCTTCTATGCCGGCCCCATCTACAGCAGAGGCCTTGAGGGTGGAGGAATTTGAGTAGGATTCAGAGCGATGATTCCCCCCACACACACACACAGTCACAGCCCAACCACATCTGGATCAGAGGTGAAGGGGCATCCACGGAGCAGTGTTGCTCCAGCTCAGCTCTTACCCACTGCTAATGTATCAAGCTGAGCACTCCCAAGACCCAGTTTGCACAGGACAGTCATGTTGAAATATTTCTCAATAAGCTCACACCTCCCCAGCTTCCAGGTTAATCCTGCCCAGGCTCTTCTGCCACATGTTTTAATTGGTTGGTACTGTGGTGGGTCTTGTCTCTCATTGGTGGTCTATTCTCCAAGAGCCCGCCCTCAGGCTAGGAATAAAGCCCTATAGCAGTGGTTCTCAACCTGTGGGTCTTAAACCTCCTTGGGCTGCACACCAGATTTCTACAGATCAGATATGTAAAAAATCACAGCCTGCTGGGCGTTGGTGACACACGCCTTTGATCCCAGCACTCCCGAGACAGAGGCAAGCGGATCTCTGTGAGTTCAAGACCAGCCTGGTCTACAAGAGTGAGTTCTAGGACAGCCTCCAAAACAATACAGAGAAACCCTGTCTCAACACCCTCCCCCCCGCAAATTACATGTGTGTGAACATGAGTACCCTGCCTGTGGAGGCCAGAAATGACGTTGGAGGAGCAGGGGTTACAAGCAGTTTTGAGGTGTTCTTGGTGCATGTTGCGAGCTGAACTCTAGTCCTCTGCAAGAGCCTCCCCAGTCTCTCAGTACTGACTTTGAAGTTCAGTTTATATTAGGGCATGATATTTCCTATGACTCTGGCTATATTTCAAGGACTCGGCAACCACTTATGTCCAATGCCTGCCTGTCAGCTACGCTCCGTGCTCAGCCTCCTAGAGTAGCTCAATGGCTGTATCGTGTTCCCACACCTAAGTCCATATCTGGGGTTCCAGAGGGCCAGAACCGTCGGCTGCTGCCCGACGTTCCCAACCCCCCTTCATGTCTTGGTCGGTCCAGAACAACGTTCTTTTCTGGGTTTGGTGGATCTGACCACTGTCTATGGGTGTCAAAAACGGCGGGAGCAGGTGTGGAAGATGATACACTATCCAGGCCAGTCCTTCTGCACCGTCAGCCCGGATCACTACGCCTGTCACATGTATCAGTGGGTGGAGACCCACACCAAATGACTCGAGCCCATCTCTGGAACAGCTGGGGAAGATGATACACTATCCAGGCCAGTCCTTCTCAACCATCAGCCCGGCTTTCTACACCCGGCCCATGTATCAGTGGGTGGAAACCCGCACCAAATGACTGGAACCCTTCTGAGTTCTCAGCTAGACATTTCCAGTGCAACCAGCCTGCAGTTCCTCCTATTATCCACAAGTGGGTAGCATCCCCTAGCGAATGCTCTAACTTCTCAGCTCCTTGCTGTGATGTTGCTGTGCTGTTTAAAGCAAGGATTTCCTCCTCCCTTCTGCTCCTCCCCTTGGCGCATTTACTATTAAAATTTTTGTTCTCTTATTTTTTTATTTATTTTTAAGATTTATATATTTATTACAATACAGAATTACAGTGTTCTGTACACATGCCAGAAGAGGGCACCAGATTGAATTGCAGATGATTGTGAGCCACCATGTGGTTGCTAGGAATTGAACTGAGGACCTTTGGAAGGGCTTCAGTGCTCTTAACCGCTGAGCCATCTCTCCAGCCCATGAATAAACTTTTTTTAAGCCAGCATATCTAATCTAAACATCTTTCTCATCTTCACTTCTAGCTCCCCTCTGGGTTATCCCTCCCACTACCCCAAGGCCCTGCATGATAGGGACTGTCTCTAATTCCTACACCTCTGTAGTCTCTTGTGGGGAACACATCAAGTCCCTCTGCACCCCTACTCCCATCATTCTAATCTATACTTCTCAAGCACCACTTTGTGCTGGGCACTGAGCAGGGAGCTGAGGGCCCTGTGGCCCCTGCCCTGGTGGCACTCCCACTTTAAGAGGTCTGATTAATAGACCAATGACATAAGCAAGAGAATCCCTCGTGTCAGTGGTGGTGAGAATAAAGGCAAGTGACGCAGAGTGAGGGGCAGCATTTGCTGTCTTGAAAGGACCCAGGAAGGACCTAGGTAAACAAAGTCCAGTGGGACGTCTACTAGGGAGCCAGGCAAGTGGGAAACTTGGAGGTGGCGGCTGAGGCTCAGGGCAGGCAGGTGTTTGGTGTGGAGTCTAGAGGAGGGCAGATGGCCTGGGCTGTGGCGAGGTGTTTGAATTCTGTTCCACTGCCAAGGAAAGTCACTGGAGGCTTAAAGTACAAGGGTGGCGCCATCCCGTCTATGCTTTTTAAAGATCCGGCTAGCCGCTGTGTCCCCCCAGCAAGCTCACTACGAAATCTCCGGAGTCTGACACTGCTCTGACCCCCACTGGATGCTCCAAATCACACGGAAGAGTGTGCTGACTTCTGTAAGACGTGGGTGATAGACACTTCTTTCTATGCTTGTAGTTTCTGACCCCAAGAGACAGACAAAGGCAATCTCATGTCTATAAAGATCCAAGGATCACGATTTAGGCTACCTGCCTTCGGGACCAGCTTCCTTCTGAAGGACTTTGAGAAAAATGTTCTCTTTCCGGCACCACAAGCGATGCACAGTGTCCCTTTCCAACTATGAACAGGGTTCGGAGGATACTGCAACAACGGAGGTGGAGCCCGCAGGCAAACACCAGAGCCCCGCCAGCAGTTCAAGAGCAACCCTGTCCAGTAATTCTATTCTCCCTTACCCCTGCCAATGCTCAATGGCCCCTTCTGGCCAGGACCACAGTCCTGAGGATGCTGCAGCAACGCAGCTAAGACCTGAGGGAAAAGTCCAGTGCCCCGATAGCAGACACAGCTTTAAATCGAAAAAAAAAGGAGATTGGCTGGTCCCAGTGGAAAGGTGGAGCCTGTTTCCTGGGATGGGGCCTCGGAGACACAGCCAAAGCCAGAGAAACAACAGTTGGGGGTGATGGCCGCTCCAAGCCCTGAGCCCCACGAGGTAGGTGCCCAGATGGAGCAGGGACAGAAGAGAGAAGGGTGAGTGAGCAGGTCCCGCCTTCCTCTTGGCCAGAGGCGTGGACACGCCCCCATCTCATCAGGGTGGGACTCTGCTCTGGAAAGACCAGGACAGGCCCCACCTGGGCGCAGGTATGAAGGGGATGATTATCAGGTGGGTGTCTCCCCGCCTCCCAGGTCTTCCTCGGTTTCCTCATCAGGAAAATGGGGAAGAAAAGCTCTTCCATACAGCTGTTAGAAGAAGAAGGCATGCTTTGTCTAGACTCTATTTCAATACCACGTGCCAGGTGCTATGTGGCCTCTCAATGCCTGGGAGTGGCTATGACTAGAAGCATGAATATCACAATATGACCCAAATGATCCATGATGGGCTGTGGGCTGCCTCCCAGGTCTCCATAGACAACCCGCCCAAGGTGAATGGCCAGTCCATCCCACGAGCCTCAGACTCCAAGAGGGAGGGAGACCCCGCTGGCTATCTGTCTCACTAACACTGTGACTCTAGGGGTCAAAGAGACCTACCAAAAAGAGGGAGGCAGGAATTGTCAGGAGGCAGAATTTCTGGGCTGGGAAGCTGGAAAGCCTAGGAGGTGTGAGCGACTCCCTGCTTCAGGTGGTGGGTGTGTGCTTCAGGCGGGCCTCTCTATCCCTAGGTCTCAGTACCCCTATCTATATAATGGGTAGAGGGGTTACTACCCCCTGGTTGCTGAGGCCCTGGGCCCTGCCTGCTTGTATGGCTAAGAAGGGACCCCCACCCCCACCCTGCCTAACCCAGCCCATCCTCCCTGGAGCCTGTCAGGCTGGAGCCCATGCTGGCTCAGCAGAAAGGGTCACCTAACTGCCAGCTCAGCAATCCAGTAGGCTGGTGAGCCTGTATGTTGTCTGTGTGTGCACACGTGTACACAGTCCAACCACCGTATGTGGAAGAAATTCCCTAGACCTGCAAAAACTCTCCTGTGGCTCACTGGGACTGACTTCAGTCTGAAGATACTGTTGGCAGCCCGGCTGGTGGTCCAGTCTCAGCCACACACTTCTTGGCTCCAAACACTTGAACCCTCTCACCCTGCCCCTGGCTACCAGTGCTGAGGACCCTGCTTCTCCAACCCATCTCCCTTCAGATTTCCCCTCAGAGGTCACCTTCCCCAGTGAGCCTTCTCCAGTCTGGCTCTCCCAGGCTACCCCTGGCAGATCACTTGGCTTCAAGGGCCTTTCCTTTTGCTGGGATGAGTGTTCCAGAGTTCAAGTGTAGCAGGCTTGAACTCACAGCCTGGTCCTGGAGACTCAGTGGTGGCCAGATAACACACACCCATGGGGCCCTGCCTCAGGTCACGTCCATCCTTCCTCCAGCCCTGGGTGAGCCAGAAGCCCAACTGCCCAACTCTGGCTGACAAGACTCGTTGGGTCCCTGTTTGCTAAAGTAATGGACAAAGCTGCGAGTTGTATTCCCAATCTCTGGGTAGGCAATGGCAGACCCTGCGTTTCTCTGAACCCCTCTATTCACCCCTGCAGGGACCTGCAACTCTGAAGAGGTTTCCCAAGTTATGACGCAGGTTCACAAAGAGGTAAGGAGTCCAGGAAGAACTGTCTGCCTTGGCCCCCTCCTCCTCATCTGTGAGTGGGAGCGATGCTTGTTCCAGGAACCTTGCTGGGTCCTGCCTCTTCCAAACCAGGCGCAGCTTCATAAGCCTGGACCCGCGTGGATGGATTCCCTTAGGGCTGCTTTCTCCCGTACAGGGCTTCCAGCTCGAAATTCTGGCCGGTCCAGCTTTTGCATGCCTGAGGAAACAAGTAGGCCTGACTGAAGAGGACTATCAGGCTACTGTGGGTCCTGGTAACCCCTACCTTCAATTCCTCAGCACGTCCAAGAACAAAGCCAGCTTCTTCCTGTCGTGAGCTTGCAACAGGGGATGGGGCTGGTTGGAGGCTGCATTCCAGGCTGGCGGGACAGCCAGGAGCAGAGAGGGTCAGGGCCGCATGAAGGCGGGACCAAGAACTAAGGGTAACCCCTACCTTCAAATTCTCAGCACATCCAAAAGCAAAGCCAGCTTCTTCCTGTCGTGAGCTTGCAACAGGGGTTGGGGCTGGGTGAGGGCTGAGTTCCAGGCTGGTGGGACAGCCATGGGCAGATAGACTCAGGGCCGGGTGAAGGTGGGACGAAGTGAGAGACAGTGGCCAGACACATCCAACCTAGTGCAGAAGAAATAAAGGCAAGAAAGAGACTGTTCTGAACGGCTCCTGCCAAGCCTGGGCAGTAACTGCTCTTTCTCACTCGCAGACATGACCAGCGCTTCTTCATAAAGACCCAGACACATCACGAAGTGGAGGTCCTGCTCACCCAACTGTGCGGCTACATGCAGTATCTGGTGCAGTACCCACACTCGCTGCTGGCTGGGTGGTTGGTATGAGGCTTGGGGATGTTCCTAACTGTCAAAGGTTGGGGTTGGTCCTAACTGTCAAAGTGCCTGGGGAGGGCGGGGTCTGGGAACGGGGCGGATCCTGGGGCGGGGCGCAACGTGGCTGGCTTGGGATGTTAGAGATTTGATTGGGCCGGTGCTTCGGGGGTGGGGCAGCACTGATTGGGAAGGAGCAGGGATTCAGAAGGGAGTCTGGGGGGTGGGACTGAAGTGACAGGCCCAGGTATGAGGTGGGTCTTGAGGAAGATGGAGTGCGGAAGAACTAACAGGAAGAAAGAGACCGTTTGGAACTGCTCGCGCCAAGCCTGGACAGTAACTGCTCTTTCTCACTCGCAGACACGACCAGCGCTTCTTCGTAAAGACCCAGGCACGTCACGAAGTGCAGGTGCTGCTCACCCAACTGTGCGGCTACATGCAGTATCTGGTGCAGTACCCACACTCGCTGCTGGCTTGGTTGTTGGGTAAGCGGCTTGGGGCGGGTCCTAACTGTCAAAGTGCCTGGGGAGGGCGGGGTCTGGGAACAGGGCGGATCCTGGGGCGGGGCAAAGAGTGGCTGGCTTAGGATGGAAGAGATTTGACTTGGGCCTGGTGTTTCCGGGTGGGGCAGCGCTGATTGGGAAGGGGCAGGGATTCAGAAGGGAGTCTGGGGGGCGGGACTGGAGTGACAGGCCCAGGTATGAGGTGGGTCTTGAGGAAGATGGAGCAGGGAACTGCGGTCACATGGATCCCTGGTTGTGGAGCTGGAGGCCTTCTCCTCTTTCAGGCATTTACAGTCTGCAGGTGGCCAACCTGGCAAAGGTGAGTGTGGTGGAGGCGAGGTGGCTCGGCAGTGGGGGCTGCTGGAGGGTGAGGTCCTGCGCTTCCCTCACTGCCCCCTCCTGTCCCCAGAAGTACTTCATGCAGAGCGTCTTCTATCCCGTCAGCGGCATCTCTGAGAGGTGAGTCCCTCTGGAAGGGATACAGGGTTCCGGCTCCACAGGGAAAGCGCAGTCCGAGGCCCCGAAACTTACCCTTTAGACCGCCGAATAGGCTCAGCGAGAACAGATCCTCCCAAGTTCCAGTAGGAGGGAGACACTTCTCTTTAAAATGCGTGGGGTTAGCCGGATGGTGGTGTCACATGTCTTTAATCCCAGTACAGAGGCAGACAGAACTCTGTGAGTTCGAGACCAGCCTGGGCTACAAAGCGAGTTCCAGGACAGGTTCCAGGGCTACACAGAGAAACCCTGTCTCAACCCCCCCCCCCGCAAATAACATGTGTGTGAACATGAGTACCCTGCCTGTGGAGGCCAGAAATGACGTTGGAGGAGCAGGGTTACAAGCAGTTTTGAGGCGTTCTTGGTGCATGTTCTGAGCTGAACTCTAGTCCTCTGCAAGAGCCTCCCCAGCCTCTCAGTACTGACTTTGAGGTTCAGTTTATATTAGGGCATGATATTTCCTATGACTCTGGCTATATTTCAAGGACTCGGCAACCACTTATGTCCAATGCCTGCCTGTCAGCTACGCTCCGTCCTCAGCCTCCTAGTGTAGCTCAATGGCTGTATCGTGTTCCCACACCTAGGTCCATATCTGGGGGTCCGGAGGGCCAGAACTGCCAGCTGCTGCCCGACGTTCCCAACCCCCTTCATGTCTTGGTCGGTCCAGAACAACGTTCTTTTCTGGGATTGGTGGATCTGACCACTGTCTATGGGTGTCAAAAACGGCGGGAGCAGGTGTGGAAGATGATACGCTATCCAGGCCAGTCCTTCTGCACGGTCAGCCCGGATCGCTACGCCCGTCGCATGTATCAGTGGGTGGAGACCCACACCAAATGACTCGAACCCGTCTGAGTTCTCAGCTAGACATTTACAGTGCAACCAGCCTGCAGTTCCTCCTGTTAGCCACAGGTGGGTAGCATCCCCTAGCGAATGCTCTAACTTCTCAGCTCCTTGCTGTGACGTTGCTGTGCTGTTTAAAGCAAGGATTTCCTCCTCCCTTCTGCTCCTCCCCTTAGCTGATTGTCTACAGGGCAGAAGAGGGCACCAGATTGAACTGCAGGTGGTTGTGAGCCACCATGTGGTTGCTAGGAATTGAACTCAGGACCTTTGGAAGGGCTTCAGTGCTCTTAACCGCTGAGCCATCTCTCCAGCCCATGAATAAACTTTTTTAAGCCAGCATATCTAATCTCCACATCTTTCTCATCTTCACTTCTAGCTCCCCTCTGGGTTATCCCTCCCACTACCCCAAGGCCCTGCATGATAGGGACTGTCTCTAATTCCTACAGCCTCTGTAGTCTCTTGTGGGGAACACATCAAGTCCCTCTGCACCCCTACTCCCATCATTCTAATCTATACTTCTCAAGCACCACTTTGTGCTGGGCACTGAGCAGGGAGCTGAGGGCCCTGTGGCCCCTGCCCTGGTGGCACTCCCACTTTAAGAGGTCTGATTGATAGACCAATGACATAAGCAAGAGAATCACTCATGTCAGTGGTGGTGAGAATAAAGGCAAGTGACGCAGAGTGAGGGGCAGCATTTGCTGTCTTGAAAGGACCCAGGAACGACCTAGGTAAGTCAAAGTCCAGTGGGACGTCTACTAGGGAGCCAGGCAAGTGGGAAACTTGGAGGTGGCGGCTGAGGCTCAGGGCAGGCAGGTGTTTGGTGTGGAGTCTAGAGGAGGGCAGATGGCCTGGGCTGTGGCGAGGTGTTTGAATTCTGTTCCACTGCCAAGGAAAGTCACTGGAGGCTTAAAGTACAAGGGTGGCACCATCCCGTCTATGCTTTTAAAAGATCCGGCTAGCCGCTGTGTCCCCCCAGCAAGCTCACTACGAAATCTCCGGAGTCTGACACTGCTCTGACCCCCACTGGATGCTCCAAATCACACGGAAGAGTGTGCTGACTTCTGTAAGACGTGGGTGATAGACACTTCTTTCTATGCTTGTAGTTTCTGACCCCAAGAGACAAAAGCAATGTCTACAAACACAAGACGATTTAGGCTACCTGCCTTCGGGACCAGCTTCCGAAGAACCTTCAGGCAAAGGTTCTGTTTCTGGCACCACAAAAGATGCACAGTGGCCCCGTCCACCTACAGCCAGGGTTGGGAGGATACTGAAAAAACGGAGGTGGAGCCCGCAGGCAAACACCAGAGCCCCGCCGGCAGTTCGGGAGCAACCCTGTCCAGTAATTCTATCCACCAGTACCACGGCCAATGCTCAACGGCCCCTCCCGGCCAGGTCCAGGGTCCTGAGGATGCTGCAACCCCGGAGGCAGGACCTGAGGGAAAAGTCCAGTGCCCCGTTAGCAGACACAGCTTAACATCGAACAAAAAAAGGAGATTGGCCGGTCGTGGGCCAAAGGTGGAGCCTGTTTCCTGCGATGGGGCCTCGGAGACACAGCCAAAGCCAGAGAAACAGCAGCTGGGGGCGATGGCCGCTCCAAGCCCTGAGCCCCACGAGGTAGGTGCCCAGATGGAGCAGGGACAGAAGAGAGAAGGGTGAGTGAGCAGGTCCCGCCTTCCTCTTGGCCAGAGGCGTGGACACGCCCCCATCTCATCAGGGTGGGACTCTGCTCTGGAAAGACCAGGACAGGCCCCACCTGGGCGCAGGTATGAAGGGGATGATTATCAGGTGGGTGTCTCCCGCCTCCCAGGTCTTCCTCAGTTTCCTCATCAGGAAAATGGGGATGAAAAGCTCTTCCATATGGCTGTTAGGAGCCCAAGCACTTACTTAGCTTTGAGCACATGATGGGTCTCCAGTAGTAATGGGTCAACTAGTCTGATTTCAGCATCCCTTTGACCCCTCTTGCTGGCACAGAACAACACAACACAGAGGTGAGAATAGAGGTCACTGAACCTCCTCCTAGCTTCCTAGCAATTGCCGGCTAGGCTTCCTCTGAAGGCAGCTCAGACTCCACAGTGGGAGATACCATGTTACAGAGGAAAAATAAGGCCCCCTAGTGACCTAATGTCAGGTAGGCTCCTAGAGCGAGTCAGACTCAGCTGGACTTGAGTACAGAAGGCATGCTCTGGAGTGGGTGCAGGATGGGAAATGAAAGGGTTCAATATACATAATGCCAAAGACATGGAAAAAAATTAAAAAGTGAAAAAAGAAAGAAGGCTTGCTTTGTCTACACTCTATTTCAATACCACGTGCCAGGTGCTCTGTGGCCTCTCAATGCCTGGGGAGTGGCTACAGCATTATCCCTATGTTTTGGGGGAGGGGGTTTGTTTGGTTTTTTGTTTGTTTTTGTGAGACAGGGTTTCTCTGTATTGTTTTGGAGGCTATCCTGGAACTCGCTCTGTAGACCAGGCTGGTCTCGAACTCACAGAATTCCGTCTGCCTCTGCCTCCCGAGTGCTGGGATTAAAGGCATGCACCACCGACGCCTGGCTATTTACCCCTGTGTTTTATGACCAACAAAGGTGAAGCAGAGAAAGACCAAGGGGAGATTCCCAATTAGGGGAGTTAGCATTTGAACCTGCACCCTTCCCCTCAGAGACACCTCATGCCTGCTTTGTTTTCTGTGCCTCTTCCCATCAGATCCCGGCCCCTTCCCTGGAGGTTGTAAACAGGGCGGTTGCCTCAGTGGGCCACTTCAACCACTTGTGGCGTGGAGTTAGAGACAGGAAGAACCGAGTGGGCCTGGTTGAAATCGATAACACACATGATTTTCACAAAGTAACCCAAATGATGCAGGATGGGCTGTGGGCTCATGGCTTTTTTGATGAAGAAGAAGAAATTCAAATTCCAAACCACTTTCACCCTGGAGGAGCTGACTGTGGTCCCCTTCGTGAACGGGGTCCTCTTTTGCAAAGTCAGGCTGCTGGATGGCGGGGATTTTGTCAGTTTGTCGTCCAGGTAGGCTTTGGGGCTTTTGCGTTTGCAGGGGAGGGTGTGGGGGTCGGGGCGGGGATCGATGGTGAGTGAGATCTTGGTAAATGTGGAAACCTCAGGTCGGGATGGCAAGGGACTTCCGGGCGTTATACGTGTCTGGGGAAAGATTTGCTCCAGGCAGTACTTGGGGCCGAGTGAGCTGGCACTGTGCCAGGCACTTAATCAGCAGGTTACCAGCCAGAAACTTTTTAGGGCCCTGCGTGCATTCTCCAGGTCATCCGTTTTGCAAACCTGCGTGGAGAGGGCTGAATGAAATTTGCACTTTGAGAGGGAGTAAGTAGGGTGCCCTCGGCCACCTTACCACCAAGCGGGCCCCTGTGGCTGTCATATGATTGAGAGCTTAGGCCAGCCACAGGTTTTCTGGCATTCTCCCCACGCCGGGGAAACCCAGTTCCAGGCACTCCCTGGATCTGATTGAGGGTGGTGCCTGGATTTTGGGTTGCCCAACCCCCTCTGAGTGACTGCCCTCCACTGGCTGAAGCTGGGCTGCTTTGCCTTGCAAATGTCCTTGCCAGAAGACTGCCTTCCTCTGTGAAAGACCTCCAGCTTGGTTTTGTGTCCCTCACCATCCTGGTAGGTCCAGTTTCCCAGCTTATTTCTGAATGAGACCCGAGTTCTTGGTCCACCCTTTGCAGATTGATCTCACTAGGGTCACACAGTCCTAGCAAGCCTGCTGAGGTCCTTGGAGTCCAGCTGATGAGGAAGGGGAGTCAAGTTCTGACTCCTTCTGGCTTCCTGTTCCCTCTTGTGCACAGTGGACACACAGGTTTCTCCATCAGAGTTATGGGGGAAAAATTGCAGTAGGTAGGCCCACAATACAGCGCCTGAGCCTGGGCCTGGGATGCTCTCCTTCTCTTACCTAGTCTGTCCTTTGTTCCTTAGGCTTTGTGGGCTTAGTTAGTTGGAGATGTCTCACTATTCTGAGCTCTCAGAGGTGTGTTTTACTGGTTGGGATAATGGGCCCCAGAAAGAGGAAGTAAATGGTTGCCAGGGACCTTGAATGAGACAGTTGTCAAACTGTCAGGAGACCTGTTGGGTGAATCTGCTGGGAGAACAGAAGCTATGTGACCTGATTCAGATTTTGGAATTTGTGTGGATAGAGTGAAGTGCCTGTGTGCCTGTTCTTTTTTTTTTTTTTTTTTTTTTTTTTTTTACGAGACAGGGTTTCTCTGTATTGTAGGCTGTCGGTCCAGCCCGGCCTTGAACTCAGAGATCCGCCTGCCTCTGCCTCCCGAGTGCTGGGATTAAAATCGTGCACCACCACCGCCTGGCATGAAGTGCCTGTTCTATGCACTGGGCTCCTGTTCTGCCCGGAGCTGCTTATCTGAGGAATTTGGACAAGGGGCGCCCTTTGTGGTGGGGGTAGCTACAGTCTGCAGCCTGTGATGCCTGTCATCCCTACAGCTGCCCTTGCCTGACGGCACAGTGTCAGAGGGTTGTGCTCAGAGATGGGCCTGGAGTCAGGCACTTTCGGGCTTTGGGTGAATTACCCAGTCTCCCTGACCCCCTTACCTCAAGAGCCAGCAGTTCCTGGTGCTCTGCCTGCCTGCCGTTTTACTAACACCTCTTAGCCTCTTGACCGTGCCGTGAAGCAGCAGAGGTGGGGTTCTGGGGAGCATTTTACAGGGGTGAGAATAGAGACTCAGAGAAAGTGGCTTTAACTGCTACCTTGTGCCTCTGAGCCTCAGTTTCCTCTTTTGTAAAATGGGGAAGTAATGCCCCCCTTTCATTGTGAGGGGGATGGAGCGTGCACCATGTCTGACCAGGGAAGTTGCTACAGTAGCTGCTGTATTGTAAGAGGCCCAGGCCCCAGCTCCCCCAGCCCCAGGTCATTGACCAGGGGGTGGGGGAACACTGGACGGCATCTCTTAATCCGCAGAGGTCCTCTTTGTGAACTGGGCAGTGGGCACAGCACCAAGGAGTTTGTACTAAGCGCATGCTGCAGTTCCCACCTGTCTGCCTAGATCCTTAGCTAGCCACTGTGACCCTACCTGCCAGCTTTTCCCTTGCCCCGACCTGCCCCCACATCCTGGAAAGTCTGGAAAGTTCCGGGACTTAGCACACATGGCTCTGGATTTCACCTCTGTTTCCCCTTCTTCCTCCTGGCAGAAGACCACAGATTCTCTGAGCCCAGCTGGGCCTAGGCAGCCTTTCCCAGTTCCCATCCTGGATAAAGCCTCGTGTGTGTGTGTGTGTGTGTGTGTGTGTGTGTGTGTGTGTGTGTGTGTCTGTGTGTGTGTGTGTGTGTGTCTGTGTTGCTAAAGAGGAACTGGCATTGAGGCCCAAGGCTGAGCACTTAGATACTGGATACCTGGGTCCTGCAGCTGTAGCTGCAGAGAGCAGTGATGTTGGAACCTGAGCCACTTTGAAGTGACTTTGGCTTTTGTGGGCTTTTACCCAGGAGGTAGGGGTTCTTAGGTTGGTATTCCCTCTACCACACCCCTCCCACATTGATCCTGTAGCCCAGGAGCCTGGACCACCCCTCCACTACTATGACCCTGTTGTTTATAAGTTGGGGTAGGGACCGAGGTGACTGGACCTGCTTAGATCCTGGGCCTAGATGTGGCAGCACATCTTCCCAACCCCAGGGACATCTGGATCTCTTGATGGGCTGTTGGCAGCATGGGTGGTGTCAGGCTGACAACAGCCCTAGACCCCACCCCCACAACACCCGCCTTCCTGGCTGGTGTTTTCCAGTGTGTTGAGTGCCATGGCAACAACTGGTACTCAACTCCGTCTGACCCAGTTGGAACAGGTGACTCCTGGGTTGTTCCTTAGCCTCATCTTCCAGCACGGCCTTGGGAGCAGCAGTTCACACAGCAACCAGGCTCTTAGTGCCCAGACTATGCCAGGAATAGTGCTGAGTGTTTTGTGCAGAGTGTCCCCATTAACCCTCCCCAGCCACCTGGAGAGACCAGAGAGGTAAAAGCCCGCGCTGGAGGTTACCAGGTGGTAAATGGCAGTAAGGAGTTCTTTTCTCATACTGGCTTCCTTCAGTTGTTTACTTGCCAATGCCAGGAGCTTGCTGAGCCATTCAGATACCTGGCCATAAGCCCTGCTTGTAGGCGAGGATCCTGAGGTGAGGAAAGATGAGGTGACTGGGTCTGTGTAGCAGAGATAGACCTTGATTGCAGCGGTTCCCATTCAGAGCCCTACCTTGCCTTTGTGGCGTGAGTTAGAAGCAACAGCAGACCCATGTGACATTTCAGACCCCACAAAGACTTCTTTCAGTGGGTTGGGTATATGGCAGAATCTGGAGCTGGACAGTTTGGAGGCACTGAACTGGGTTTTGTGAAGCTCAAGATAAACATAGAATCCCCAAGACTATAAGGTTAAAATAATCACTACGTATTTGTGATCAGGCTTAGGCAATCACTGGGGAGCAGAGGGCATTTGCCATGTGTCCTTGCCTGGGACCTCTCAGGAAGATAATGCAAGTGTGGTTTGGAGGGTACCCAGGAGCATACAGAGGTCCCATCCAAGTGTGGCGAGTCTGGCAGACACTAATGTGTCAAAGTGGCCTACAGGTCAGGAGGATCCCAAACCTCCATGTGGTGACTGTCGGGAGAGGAGTGTGAGGGAACACTGACTTACATTATAGGATGGCGAAGGGAGAGGAGACAAAGATACTGTCTGTTAGCCAAGGGGAATCGCGGTCTGCGGCAGAAAAGTGGCTTGCTGGGGCTACTTCATAGGAGGAATAATTGACACGGGTGGACAGACTACATAGTCTAGTTCTTACCTCTGTCCCCTGTGCGCCAGCCCACTAAGAAGGTGGGTTAGCCAGGAGAAGAAAGATCCCTTGCAAGGCCACCTCCTGCTCTATGCTTGGGTGCCAGGCTGTCTGAGGAGCTGACTGTGACTTGAAGAGCCCTCCTTCCTTGTCCTTTCTTCTGGGCCAGCTTTGAGTCTTCAGTGGGCCTTCAGCGGGGTTTTATTTTTATAAATAGAGCCTGGCTGCTTACCACACAGGCACTGCCTGCCTTCTGTGGGCACAGTCACGTGCCCATCATGTAGGAGTACTCACTCAGAGTGCCTTTGGGATCCTCTGAACATGAAGGAAGGCCTCGGAAGAGTTAGCTCTGCATCCAGAGGCCTTGTGCTAAGGTCCAGACCCTGGCTCTGGGGCCGGCAGACAGGCTTGCTTGTTCATCATCCAAGCCTCAAGTTTGGCCTGGGTTCCAGCCCTGCCTCTTAGCCTCCCTCATTGAAAAAAGCTGTAGAATGCTGCTGGATCCACAGCCATGCAAGGCCTGTTCTGGGACAGCTTGGTAGGATTGTCTAGCATTGTGAAGATACAGGAGAACCCCTAAACTGGGTAAGGAATTGTCCTGCTCGGAATAGGGGTGCTGTGGACTGAACAGATTGGAAAGGTAGGAGGGAGCTAGCAGACACGGGTCTTTTCTTCTTCCCTGTTGGCTGGCTTCCAGAGGTGAGCAGGACTAGGGAGTTGTCAGCTCCTAGGTCGGTGGTGGCTGTAGGCCTAGTAGGCCGGGCTAGTCTGGGGCAGGTCCTTGAGGATCCCAGTGGGCCCTGGCAGACCAGTTGGTAAGATATTTTTGTTCAGACTCTGTCCATCTTCATTTTCCCTCAAGTCTTCTCACCCTTGCCCCTAGTTCACTGTCTCATGGTAAGCATGCCATCACCACAGAGAGGGCTTCCCGGGGAAGCAACACTCAGAGGCCTCCCAGAAGCTGAGAGGGATCAGGCTGAAGATGGGGAAGAGCTGTGGAGAAGCCCCTGGTTTGAAGGCATGTCTGGGC